TTATGTATAAAGTAGAGTCTGAAGAACCTCTTGTTATCAAACAGGAATAAGTCCAAGAGGTAGAAGAAGTCCTCAGATCCTTTCATGTACTAGTAAATGCACCAATACTATACAGAGTTAAACACACCATTACAAGTCCTGCATTTATATTCACACTGAAGTACGAGAACGAGCATAATGTTAAAGAATCATTCTACAGTTTAACGACGAAGACCCCGGCTACTTTAGATGTTTCGGACATTAATGTCGATGCACAGTTGGTCAAAAAGAACTTTTTAAAGACTCTTTAACCAGTTCAGTCAGAGGTCTGCTATACACATTTACTTTTATATAATGAATTGTATGTTTTATCCTTTTTATAGCCAGTGCAACAAAAATGTGAGTTTTATTTTCCACAGACAAAAAGTCTTCTAAGAAGATAGGAGATCATTCTCCCTTTAGGATGTTGAAGAGGATCATTCAGATTTGGCCAACTAGACGTTTGTTTTAACACAAGAAAGTCTAAACTTATCAACCACATGTTTAATATTTACCATCGATATAAGATCAGCATGTCTGTATCAGGTTGATAATTACCTCATTGAGCTAGCACATAAATGTAGTATAAAGCATGCATTAAATATATCAAAGTAGAATACAGGCCCCTCTAAGTAGAACACATTGGAACAACTTTACATTCAAGCTCCTGCTAATCCCCGTCCTATAAGACTGTAGGGGATCCATCAATCCATTGTTACACCTCCTTGGAGTTTGGAGAAATACAGTTTTTGAAAAGCAGGGGCTGAAATCTTCCAGCACTTAGATTCAACCATCAATTGATCAATGGATCCTACATTTCCTACAATGCATCAACACAACACCTTAATAAGAACCATTTACCTGGTCAAGTCTTTACAGCTCTAGACTCTTGATTTGTAACTCAGTCCAATCTTGGACTTTTCTGTCCAAAATGTTCAGACCACAATAAACCTCTGCAGTAGTATTGGCACGAGACTGTTGGGCTGGACTGCTTTTGTCGATAAATTGTTCATCTATCTTAGCTGTAAATCTGTCTTGATGTCTGCCTGATTGATCGCCTCTTATGCAAGGTTTCCTCTTGGTCACATGGCTAAATATAATGAGCCATTATGCTGCATTTAGTTTGCATCATTAACAAAGTACGATACAGTGAGTTGAATGCTACAGAGACAAGGAGACAGGAGGCAGACGCCAACATAACACACGATAAACTACTCCCACCATTTTCTGTTTCACAGAACAACTTGGTTTGTTGTCAAAGGAGTTTTAGTGATGATCTTAAATTAGAGAATGAAAATAGCACAGGTGGGTTGAATCTGTGTGTGGAATAAAAAAAAGGCAACTTGATGTACAGGTACGGTTCCTCAAGGGTTTCTCATTTAGGTTCCATGTGTGGCATGTATCTGGCAAGTTCGCCTTTAAGAAATCATCCATCCTTGTCACAGAGTCGTGACGACACACACTTCTATCTAGAGAAATGAAAAACTATTTTTGAAGCACTCCACACTGCCATCCCAATTTGGCTGTTAAGGATGAATTGACGCATAAAGTAAGACTTCATCAATTTCAATGTAAGGGAGATGTGCGTGTGTGTGAGTGTGTGCGTGTGTGTGTGAAGGTGTGTGTGTTTGGGGTGGGTGGCATTAGAACTTAAGAGGCAGCAGCCACTTTTCTTGCCAATTGCTCGATTTCTTTGAGTAAAATGGTTTTCTTGGCTGTTTTTCATCCAGGTTTTTATCCTCTTGTACCCTCTGCTGAAAGAGGACTGAGTCATAGCAGTCAAGGAAGCAGGTGGGTGGGAGGAACATAGTGGGTGCGGGTGGTGGCTGGGTGGGGGGGAGGAGGGTAGAGGATGTGGGTGGTATACAGGTTAAGGAGTGTGAGGTTGTAGTGAATGAAAAAAAATATGAATGGTGAATACTATGCAAACATTTTATCACCTCATTCTCATCAGGGAAGAGTCATTATGTATTCAAAGGATCATTAAACCTCCTGAAATGAAATGTGTTTTGTCTTTTTAATTATTGGTATGTAAACTGGCATCCAATAATCACTGCTCTCACTTGAGATTTTAAATTAACTGCTAATGTACAAAAAGTTGCAGAGGAATTAAATTGGACAAAAAGACGAGGAGGGACTGGAAGACTCCTAATTAACTCAACTTCCACTTTAGATAGAGCAGCATGCTTCATGCCTTAAGCTTTGTTTAGCCCAACTGGATACATTTGTTTTCATTCCACTGCAGGGAAAGCATGTCCCAACTAACCATTCCTATTTTAAGATTGAGGTATTCAAATAAAAATCACCCTTTATTATAATGTTTCAAACTGCATGTATATGAGGCAAAAAGTCAAATCAAATGTATTGGCCGGGGCGTTTGAGAGACAGAACGACAGATGTGTGGGTGATGTTCTTTTTTTTGTCTCAGTGAGTTTCAAACTATTTGTTGAGGGTGGATGGGCAGGCCATTAGGAGAATTGATGTGCATGCAGTTGTGTGTATGTATGTGTGCACACACACGTACATATGTGTGTGTGTGTGTGTGTTCCAGCTCCAACATCACTGCTGTCGTCACTGCAGCCACCTCACAGTGACTCCCCTGTGACTGAAGGCCCTGACAACCTCCCACGCTCTCCCTATCAACTCCCTTGCTCCTTGCTGCAACTCCCTCATCGCTTTAGCTATAACCCCCCCTCGCCCCCCCCCCTACTCATTCTCTGTCCTTGGCTTTGTCTCCCCCTCAACTCTATATTCTCATCCATCCATCTCTCTGTGCACTATCTTTCTCTTTTGTTTCACCCACCTCCTTTTTTCTTTTTCACTCGTTTTCATCTCTCACCCCCTCATTTGGTGTGTGGGTCTTCCCTGTCTTCCGTCATGCTCTCTGCGCCCATCTTGCTGCCTGTCTCTGTCTCTATGGAAACCTCCGAGTGGACAAGAGTGGCTTAGCGGTCTGTGAGACGCTGATATGGACCCTATTAGATCACACCCTTGTTTTCTCTCCCAGAGAGCCACACGTTTTCAACGCTGAGCACACAAGTGAAAACCCATACTGTTTTAGTATGATGGTGTCACACACACACACACACACACACACACACACACACACACACACACAGACACACACACACACACACACACACACACACACACACACACACACACACACACACACACACACACCGTGGAGATGTCTCATTTTCTTGCACCCACGACTTATCAGTGGTGTGAAGTGGGAGGAGAGGGTGGAGGCAGTGATGGAATAAGGAAGGGAACCCTTTTGTTTCATCATAATGTTGATATTTTCAATCGGTAAAAAGGAGACCACCTGCACGTTTTCACGAGTACACACACATACACACACATACACACACAAACACACACACACGTGTACACACCCTGTGGCCCTCTCGTTGCAGTCTCACACCTCACTAACCATATTCTCCTCAGATTATCACATTGTTGAGCCTGCTGTGTTGCGTACAACGTGCGTCATTCTGGTCCAAACATATCCAAAGGACAGGTTACTTGTGATAAGAGGCCTCACACAGACAGCGTTTCACAGCTTTTGGTCGCTCTCCTGAGCACCATCATGGTTTCAGTCATGCTTAAGTGGATCATTGCAAAGCGCAATCATGGGGAGTATACATAAGCTGTATAGCATCCTTTCTGGGAAGGGAGTAAGAATGAATAAAATGAAGAATAAAAAGACAAGCAATGTTGGATTTGTTTTCTTCCTATAATAAAGGCTTATTTTGAAAGAATTCAAAAGATTTTTTTGAGTTTCTCCTTTATTTTATCAAAATGTACATGAATAAACTACAACAAAGGACTACATTAAAGAAGACATCAAAATGGGCAGCAATAACAGGGGTCAAAAACTGAACACATACCCAACCCAGACCAAGGCCCACCCCGTTTACACCCCCCAGTGCAGTGAGATAAAGACATGCCAATGATGTCTCACATTTAGGCACTTGATTTTCCCTACTGAACCATCTTTGGTCATAGTTGCAGTTTCACGGCTTTGAAACGAAGATCCAAACAGGACTGAGGTGAATTTGAACTTGTTCCATGTTGATTCTGGCTGGGTGAATTATAGGACGCTGATTCATGCTGAGAGGAGTCACAGGAGTTTGGATGTACTTCTTACGGTTTTGACAGATTGATCTGCGTCTGCCATGTTTAGAGATGACCCAAAGATGGTTATAACCTGACCACCTCCATAGAGTAAACGTTAGCATTAAACAAATCAACACTGGATGGTACAGTACTTCACGACTACAGAAGAGACTCCACGAGGGAACGGAATCAAGCACTACATCTGAACACAATTTACCTGAAAACAATGCAGTTTATCCGCACAAAATATACTGTCATCAATATGCTGTACAGTCTATTGCAAAGGCATTGTTGTTGGCATTTTACTGTAGGAACTAACCATTCTGATTATCACTGAGTTTTATCTTGGAAAGTCTTGCAAAAATAGATCAATTTTTATTAAATGATAAGCCTTTGCCTGACTTCAGGATGTTTTCCATATATTTAGCTACTCATGCATTGTCTTACCTTGTGTGCATAAAGTATACTGTATGTATGTTTGCTTGTGTGTTTGTATTTGTGTGTTTGTGTTGTGCATGCATGGGTATGTTCTGATGAAAGTACTGTACACACTGGTAGACTCTTATCCCTTATCTTTTTTTTTTAAGAATACACCCATTTAGTAAAGGTTCAACAAAGTTACATTAAACTTTTTAAGAAGCATAGTAGTCACACAGTATTTGGCAGTGAGAGAACAGTCCTAATTTCCATGCACAATATTAACCACAGGCAAGGTCCACATTCTGAACAAACCCTTTAGAAACAACACAATAAGAACATGAAAAGAGTATACGAGAATTCAAGAACCTGGAAGTGTGTTTGTGTATGTACTGTATATATAAATGTGTGTGTGTGTGTGTGTGTGTGTGTGTGTGTGTGTGTGTGTGTTTGTTTATGAATATGTCTGTGAATGTGTGTGAATGTCAACAGCTCAGCTGGTTTCCAAAGGAGACCAAAGGGCTATGACTCATGCAGTGCATACAGCATTTTCTGTAATTTGAACAATATCGGAAGAATTATTACTTTCCCACAAAGCCCAGATAATTACATATAATCATGTTGAAACCATACAGGGTACTTTGGGAGTTTACTGTAAAACCCAATCATTCCCACCCCCATAGGTCTATTATAGACCAAACAGTTAATCCCTGGATTAGATTTCAATTCTCCAGCTCTTCCTTCATGGCAAGCACCTTGCTCCACTGTGAGTTTAGTGTAGTTAAGTGTGTTTGAGTTTCAGACTAGTCCAGTCTGTGAATGCAGGTGTAATGGGTAAGGTTGGTAAAGCAGAGTTGATCCTCCCTGGGGTATGTAGTAGCTGCAATAGCTGGGTTCTACTAAATAGGGAGCAGTGTGTTCTGCAAGATATGGGGCAGGCTGGTAGAAGCATGTCACATGGTCTGTGTTAGGGATAATGTTCTGTTCTCCTAGAACCTTCAGTGCCAGCACTGTGATCATGTTCAGTGTCTGACGCCGCTCGTGACCCATCAGACACACAGTGCTGTCGTCAACCACGCGGCGCAGCGTCATCAGGTATTGGTACTTGCTTCTCTCCTCTCCTATAAAGTGGTTCTTCAAGTAGGACAGGATCTTCCTCTGCTGCTCCTGCACATCAGGGAAATCGATAAAAAAGCGGGAGCACATGTAGCGCTCCAGGGTCTTTATCTGAGTCTCACTGGCAGGACGGTAGTCCCTAACCAGCAGGTTGCTGTATTTCAACAAACCACCACCCCGAATTTCCTCAGGGTTCCGGGTAGCTATTAGGCGGTAACGCAAGTGGTCCATGGCTGCCTCAAAGTCACCATACATGCTCTCTGCCAAGACCTCTACCGCAGGGACTGAACCTGATGCCTGTGGATTGTTGCTCTGTTCAGACAAGTTGGTGGGTACCTTGGGGGCCTCTTTGTTCTCAGGCATGGAGCTGGATACATGATCTGCTGGTGGTAGAGCTGATTCCTCTGGGCCTCCAGACTGAGAGTGAGGCAGCACATGTGAGGTTGAGCTGGGGATTGTGATTGGAAAAGAAACAGGCTCTGCAACAGGAGACAAAGAGGAGATGTAATCTTGTTCCTTTTTTTCTTCCATTTGTAGAAGAGGAATTCCTGGCTGAGGGGAGGCCTCTTTCATCAGCTCCTGGCTGTCTGTGTTCAGTATCAAAGGCTCCACATCGGAAGATACCTGAGGTACAAAGTCGTCTGACTCTATTGGCGGGGTGAGGCAGAGGAGGGGAGGGCTGAGGCAGGGGGAAGGTGGGCTGAGACAGTGTGGAGGAGGGCTGAGGCTAAGCATGGAAGGGGTCAGGTAAGGAGGTGAGCTGAGGCAGGATGAGGTAGGGCTGACACTCCGGGGTGGAGAGCTAAAGCTAGTAGCAGGGCTGTTTATCATTGGGGATGAGAGGCAGTGAGAGGGAGGGGTCAGACATTGGGGAGGGCTGAGGCTGGGGGGCGAGGGAGTGCAGTAGGGTGGGGAAAGACTGAGTACAGGAGGGGTGACACAGAGGGAAGAGGAGGATGGACTTAGTGTGGTCTCTTGAGGGTTGCCATCTGCCTGATTCAAGCCCAACTTTTTGGTATGTAGTTCTCCGTTTTCATCTTCATCACTGAGCTCAACTTCTGAGGTATGTACAGGTTCTTGAGTGTTTGTCTCGAACATATCTAATGTGTCCACTGAGTCGGGGGGCTCTGATTGCTCGGGTGCAGGGACAGGCTCTTTAGGGGAGGACTGGCATTGAGAATCAGAATCCATATTTGTACATTGTGTCTCTTTTAAGCCCTGACTACTTGTCTCATCAGAATTCTCTGTGATTAACTGAGAGATTGGTAGCTCATGAGGTAAAGCAGAATTAGGATCGACAACAGGGGGGGATATCATTTCAGGGGCAGACTCGGGAGCTACGGTAAGGTCTAGATTTGCAGGTTGGTTACTTGAAAGTTTGGGTTCAGGCCCAGGATTAATTTTATCAGACACATTGGTTGTTGGGGCAGGAGAAGGGTCTGAACTGGAGGTTACTGGCTTAGCGTCAAGGGCCATCTCAGGATCGGGATCTAGACAGGGCTCTGGAACAGGATCAGAAAATTGACTGGGGAGCGGAGTAGGGTAACCCTTCCTACACATCCTCCGAGGGGGTTTGGGAGAGGAGTGTTTGAGTACTACCATGTGAGACAGACGTTCTGAGGCCTTACAAGAAGGAGAGGAGGAGGTCTTATTGTCAGAAACAAGGCTTGGTGGTGCAGGTAAAACATCCTGAGTATCTGGGAGACTGAGGGCATCACTTGTTTTAGGTGTTTCATCTGAGTTATCTATGTGAGATGCACTGTGAATCTCCAGTGTGTCGTGAGGTGTAAACCATATGGAAGAGGTAGGACGGGAACAATCCATACCCTCTGTATTTTCTACAGTTTTTTCTTCTAATGATGAACTCTCTTCTGTAATTTCAGTTATTTCTGTATCACTTTCCCTTTCAGTTTGCTCCCATGTCTCTGTTTCAACTCTGTTTTCCTCTGCTAGCTGAGTTTCTTTCTTTGCATGTAAAGCTGTGCTGGAGTCTTCGGTCGACACATGCAGAGTTTGATCTTTTCCATTGTTGCCCTGATCCTCACTGAAACACTTTAAAAAGTCGATATCGTTCAATTTTGCAAAATTTAGAGATTCTGTCTGGGTTTCGTGTGAGGATTTCAGCATTTCTGTATGTTCACTGTGCTCTGTGGGGGTTTTCTGTTCATCGGGAGATTTAGTGTGGTTCGACTGTTCTATAAGGACGGTGAGTTCCTGGGTATTTGAATGTGGTGGCTGTTGGCCGACACAGGACTTGGTTTGCTCTGAGTTTTCTACCTTTGTTGAGTATTTGGTCTTTTTTGACATCTCTGGCTCATGTCCGAGGTCAATCTGAGCTGGTGGTTTAGCTTTTTCAGAGGTTGGTTTCTTTTCTGTCAAAAGATTTAGAGAGGTCTGGTCGGAGACGTTTGTCTCATTAATGTTTTCTGTGTGTTCTGATGCTTCTTTCAGATCTCCAGATGTTTTCACTTTGTTGTCTTTTTCAACTTTGGAGTGTTTTGTCAGGTTTGAATGTTCAGTTTGGTGTGCTATATCTATCTGGGAGTCCTTTTCATGCACCTTGTCTCTCTGAAGTGTCTGACTGGTTGGAACCCCCTTCTTGCTGAGTAAGTCTCTACCAGTATAGTTATCTATTTCTGTAGAGTTGGCCTGTTGGAGAAGTGAGGGAGAGTCTTTACACTGATTCACTAAATGTTTGTCTGCAGGCTGCTCTTCAAGATCAACTGTTTTATTTCTGTGCAGTGACTCCTGCTGCATGTAGGACTCCAAGAGACGATCCAGAATGATCTGGAAGGAATCAACGCTGAACTCAAACTGCCGCCTCAGCACGCTCACAAATTTGAGCTCCAGGTTTTTACCACTGTTATTTGAGAGGGAGATGAGACTCCAGCGGTCTTGTTCATTGAAGACCTTGACCATTTTCTGGACGTAGGCCTCCTTCATTGTGGCACTGCTGATCCGCTCTCTGTTGACCCCAGAAGGTAGGCAGTCCAGTAAGCACCCCAGCACGGACTCTTTGATCACCTGGAAGGAGAAATGGTCGACAACATGACAGCTACAACTGCTGACTGAAATCTGAGTGCAAACAGTTTTGGTTTTATCACAGAACTGAATATTCTGGTGCGCTTGCGATTTAGCTCTCCTGATCATTTTGATTTCTAATTAAACCAATATTATTGATGCAGTCAGTTCAATGTTCAAATGATCAATATGAAATAAATAAAAACAACAAAAGTATCAATGGAGCGACACAAAAAATAATTCCTGTAATTACGTAGTCTGCTCCCTCTTAAATATTAAACAGTAATCATACCTGGAACTCCTCCTGACAGGGCAACTCAACTCCAAAGATGATGTCCAGGTCCTTGCAGCTCGTTCCGCTGTCTCTGACAAGAACGTGGCTGGCTGTGGAGCCGTTCAGACGAACATCTCTTACTGTTATTCCCTGCTTCTGAAGCCTGGCCCGCACAGCTATGATTATGTCTCGGGGACGCAGCTCCAATGTGGGAAAGTTCCCGCGGCCGTGGATTGGAACAACCTCTGACAAAACCTGATGGAGAACCTCCACCTGCTCCGCATTCAGGCTGTGGAACCGCTGACTGGATTTGGTCTCAGACATACTGCTGCCCTGAAAGGGGGGGGGGGGAGGTAACAATGAGAGTTTATTCTAACTCCTCCCAAACAAAAAAATTTGCACTCTCTCTCACACACACAAACACACACACAATAACACTGAGCGCTCACTCACACTCCTATGCATGCTCCCTGCCAGTCTGCTGTCTGTAAGTCACAGCTTGGCTGACAGCTTTTCCACAATGCTAATGTAACTGCTGTGTTGACAAGATGACACATGGAGTGATACACATAGATGTGCTCTGCATAAATATTTGTCCACTGCTCAACCAGATCACAACAAATCAAAAGCATTTGTCCTAAAGGAATCAGATAATCTGAAGCTCATTACAGTATTTAAGACCAAAGACTTATAACAACTATTATTAACAAAACCTTAATTAATACATTAGACTCTTGTTAAAAAATAAATATAGGGAAAAATAACAATAGTAATGTAGTCATTTCAAATGGTTGTGAAAGCTTCTAATGTAAATAATAATGACGATAAAGGCAGGCTAAATCTTTGTTTATTGATTGTTTCCACCAGAAGAGTAAGGGTTAAGCTGAATGAGTCATCGCCAGCAGACTGCAATTATCACACCAACGTCACTAATTAAAGACACACATCTGTTTTTGTGTCTGAGAGAGCACCACATCATGTGTATACATTACAAACAATGATTCTCATGCACATTCATAAGAATCTAGAGCACGTAAGCTTTTATGCTACATCTTTGAAAACTGTAACAGAAATAGAAATAAAGCAAAGTATAATATCAAACTATTATATTTGGCTCAAACATGTGTGATCTTCCTGACAGTTGCCTGACATCTTTTTGCATCAAGAATCCGACAATCAGTCTGCACAAAATTGATCCCAATTTTCGATAAAAAATATATAACTAAGCCAATCAGAAGAGTTTCTGATATGTGAGTGAGTGTGTGATTGCACATAAAAGTGTTTCAGGGAGAGTGCGCAAATGTGCTTCACAGCAGCCCATTATGACATTATTGTTTGCTATAGGGAATGGATGTCACTCCGAGCTACAGCTGAATGTTACTGATTGCTATGATTAGTCAGATAAACACTGTGATACTAATAAACATGGGAAGCTTTCTGGTCCAAGCTTTTCAGACCTCTGAGTGCTTTAGTCTGCAACACCTGCAAACAATCTATCACAGAGATTGTTTATAAAAGTCTAATTCATGTTGCACACATTTCAACAAACACGCAGGAATTGCACTTTGCTAAATAGTGTCAGTAAAAAGTTCAAAAAGTTACATTTCTGCTAACTCAAAAACAACTGAGTATGCTTACCAGAAGACAATGAAGTGGGGTCTCAAACACAAACTCCTAAAAAGCTGCCATAGATGAGACATCTGTCTGCCTCCAGCTATTAAGATGTGAAACTCAAGATGCAAAACAAACAAAAAAAATCAATCCTCCAAGCAGAGGTGGTAGATAAAGCTCCAGATGTTGACAGTGAACATATACAAAGAAACAATGTGTTCAGGAGGCAGAGAGGCACTGCAGGACTGTTTCCCAGCTACCCCCCTGTATCTCCCCCTCCCCTATAGCACTCTTCTGCAAACTTGCAGCCTGAGTGACTCATCCAGGCGTATCGGCTCAGCTCACACATAATCTATGGCCATTGAAAACCCAACGAATCAAATGTCCTTGTATTCACAGGACTAAATCTACAACATACACAACCACCAATGCTCCGCTAACCAAACCCCATAACAGAATCTCAAAAAAAAAAAAGTAGAACAATGGGAAGACATTAATTGTTTTTCATGGAAAACTCTTGATAAAGATAAACGTGTGTCCCTTACTTTCTCTGGTGATCTCATGCATTATTATATGATACATAAGCTATTAGTAAAACTAAAAAAGGTAATAACTCAGTATTGGATGTTGTTACAAGTTCAAGGCAATATCTGCTAAGATATGTGTTTTGTATTTAAAAGATAACTGATGGACAATTCTCTCATATTAAATAGCCCCCCCACCCCAGATAAAATAGCCTACAATTGGAGGTTATAGTTTTCCCTTTCTGCATTTTAACAGTCCATTACGCACTTTAATTTACTGGAAGAGATCCAGAGCCATGCTGGTCCACACACTAATCACCTAATGGCGCGCTTGCTCACTCTTGAGATAACAGGTGAGGTCAATTAACCGCAATTAAGTGCCAGGCGGGATATATAGGACAGATGTAGCCCACCTCTTAATATTTCAATCAAAACGCACCAAATAGCCAACCTGTATTGGGTCTCCATGCAAACTCACAAAAGTGAAATAGCCTATGTAACTTTACAGAGTGGTGGCGTCTTACCTGTTGCTGTGGCATCTGAGGGAGCACCTCGCTCCTGGCTTCACAGAAGAACTCAACCTTGAGTGTACACCGAGTTCCAGGTTCGGTGAGTCTGACTCTCTATTTCGGAGGCTTGCTTTTCTTCTGAAGTCCCTGTAGCCACTCCGGTTAGGCTCGGTGCTGATGCGACTCTGTCCCTTGTAAGGCATATGAGGCTAGGAGCTGTCCAGGAGCTCGCATGGTGCTGAAATGAAGACGGGAATGAGTCCTCGCTCTCTTTGTTTTCTCCTCCGGCCGCCCGGAGCGTAACGCAGTTTCCATAGCGACCTGCCGTCATTCAGTTATGACTGGGAAGTGTGTGTGTCTCTGTGTGTGCAGTCATTGGTCACAACAATGGTGGTGGGGTCGTGTGTGGGGTTGTCAAATACTACAGCTTTATATGTTACTGTTTTTAAAATAACACTTTACGAGCTAACTGTAGAACTTAAAGAATTCACCTCGAGCTTCAACCTTAACATAACACACCTTAACAACCGTCAACACATTGCTGAATAAATGTCTCGACTCGGATAGGCTTGGACTATCCAATCCAAAGTTCGGCTGACTGAAAACAACACTTAAAATAAACTTTTTCTAGGGTTCGCGTTTTTATCACATGAGAAGTTTCCAAACACTAAACTCACAATATCATCTAAGATGTCACTTCGTGTTTGTGTCTTGATTGAAGTCACGACTTCTGTGTTTGGGTCAAATTGGGTGATGCCCTAAAACCTCAAAGAGAAAACCTTGGAAGATCCCAATATTAGCCATAAGCCAAGAACTGAGAAGGCCTAGCCAATTGTTTTAATGAAACACTTCTCCTCCACGTCATTATAGGCTACCTAGTGCTGTGTCCATACAGAGCATCAGCAGCTACAGTATGAGTCATCCATGCTTCTCCCTCCCCCTGACCCAGCCGATAATCCCCCCCAAACCCCAGCCCCTTTCATCTGGCCGGTGTATACGCGCACGCACGCACGCGCACACGCACACACACCACACACGCACACGCACACACACCACACACGCACACAGACACAGTGAAACCGTGTCTCCCCGTCTCCATGGTCAAACGATGATCTTGTTGGTGTATTCTTCTCTTTAACACCAGCATGCCCATATCCTTGTATGTTTCCATCAGCTGACGCCCTGCAGCCTAGACTAACCAATTAGCCTTCACCAACAAATAACTTTACAAAAAGATGCTAAATGAATGCTGATGCACCAGGAATTACCCAAAAGAAAGGGAGCGAAAGCGTTAAAGCAGACGGATAGTACAAAAGGTCAAATTACTCCTTCACCAAAAAAGCACAAATGACGTCACTTAGACGTGTTCCACAACCTACCGATACCGGGTAACAAACTATTTTTAGCCTGGATGGGACTTGTCTGCTTTGGACACGCGTGCCCGTCCACTCCTCAAACAGCCGTGACGTAGGAGGAAGCGCAAGCACGCCATGCAAAATCGTGACCGTGTGACGACCGACGCCGAAAGAGAGTCAAAGAGTGTGCTGAAAGACGAGGGCACATCAAGATAGTTCACTGAACGTAGACAATCCACATGAACCAGCCATAAATCCGAACCTATAGCTTAGGGACACAAAAAAAACGTATTACACATAGAATACTCGTCTTTCTCATATCATGTGAACTAATTTCAACGATCTGTCTCGGTTTCAAATAAGGAAAATGAAATTGTAGTAAGCATTGCTACATCGTCACTAAGATGAGGGGCGGGGATAATGGTCGACGTTTTATTTGTAAACATTTAGTTTATACATCACGTTTTTCCTGACCTTTTTCAATAAAAAAAAATATATATTGTATGTTACAACGTGAATGAGGCAGACATTTTTGACTGGAACACAAATATTACATTACAAATCTGCCAAACGCAGTTCAAGCAAAAGCGGCAGTACGCACATGTGAAGCGTCTTGTCTCACTACAGCGGCGAATTTACGCTAGCCAGAAAAAAAATCTAAACATACAACTTCGGGAGACAAGTGAGTGGCTGGATGCCACTTTGTATATACACAACTAGGCAGAACATTTGTAGCAGAAAGAGACTTTCATCATGCCGAATATGGAGAGTATCCTTTTCTGTGCTGTCCAAAAAGGGCTGCATAACGGTTACACATGCCTAGCAATAGCGGATGTTAGCTATAATGTAATGTAAGCTGGGTTTGATGAACTGTGACTTCATTCATTTCACTGAGAAACAAGAATATTTGGCTTGTTAAATAAACAACTTGAGTGCCTTTGGTCACATTGTTACTTGTTTACGTGTTTGTCCTCGCACATAGCGCTGTATATATATATATATATATATATATATATATATATTTCTCGTTTACTGCACATTTCTGTTTACATCTGTTAGTCCGATCACTGTCCACTTATATCTACTCCTTTATATGTTTAAGCTTTAAGTTGTATTTAAATTGACACTTTATATTTAGGTTAAAATGTTTCGTCTACCTGCACTGTTGTTAATTTACTGCTCTGTGTGCCTTTGAATTGCCCCCCGGGGACAAATACAGTTTTTTGAATTGAACTGAATTAACAGTATCTCTTCTTCACACTCATCTGGATTCAAATAGATCATCGTTTGGGTGTTTCACTTCACATTTTAGTAGGCCTACGTGTCTTTTTAATTTATGAAACTCACTTGAATGAAATATTCCTATACTGGCCTTACAGAACAGCTGTTCAACCTCAAATTTGCTGCCAAAGAGCTACAGCGCAATTCCAAGAAATGTGACAAAGAGGAAAAGGCAGAAAAAGCAAAAGTGAAGCAGGTGTGTTTGTTAAAATGTTGAGAACCAGGGACAATCTGGTTCACATTGCATATATACTCTGTCTTGTTTGTGTTTGTAATGCTGTTTCCTCTTTCTCTCAGGCTGTCCAGAAGGGTAACATGGAGGCAGCAAGGATCCATGCAGAGAATGCCATCCGTCAGAAGCATCAGTCCCTTAACTTTTTGAGGATGAGTGCACGTGTGGACGCTGTTGCTTCAAGGGTCCAGACTGCTGTGACCATGAATCAGGTGAGGATTACAGGTTCATGGTTTGTAGAAGACTTGGGTTGCTTTCTGATGCTACTTAAATTAGGTCATCATAACAAGGTATCTGAAAAACAAACCTCGCTGCAGTCAGATGTCCAGTTTTTAAGATACCTTCTGATTCACATTTGACAGATAATTTTGAGCGGGGAAAATGTGCAGAGTTTTGTACTGTTAGCTGTGGTGAGAAGTTTTCTCCACCACGGATGATAATTTGAACATTTTTCCTTTCTTTCAGTGTTTGTGTTTATTTCCCTTGCCTTGTCTATAAGGGTATTCATTGTAATTATCTTAGTCATCACCATATTTGGGATATTGTGCTTCTTTGTTAGATTAAATCAACAGAGAGAGACTGATAAACTTGAGCGTGACATCAGTGTCTTAAAACCACTTAGACAAGATTGAAGACTTTTTTAAATTCTTCAATACCTCTATGGTATACTAATAGAGACTATTTTTGACATATTACCTGGATAAGTTGACACTGTGCAGCTCTTCAACCTCTGACATAAGATGTTTATTACATACATTAATTAGATGTGTTTCAGACTCTATGGCTTTCCACTCTTATGAGAGTGACAGTTTCTGTCACTGGCTTAAGCGTAGGTTCAATGTAAGATGAGTCTAATTACATAGAATACAACTAAATCATGCCTATGTGAGAGAAAGTCCCAGAAAAAAAACACCTCATTGAACCTCTGTTAAGCTGATTTTGAAAAGTCTACTAAGTACAAGTGATGAGGTAGATGTGACAGTGTATCTGGTTAAAAAAGTACAAGTGACACCTAGTGGAAAAATAAGTGTACAGCACTTTAATCTGAACTTGTATCTTGCCTATTTTACTTCAAACACTCAATTCCTACTTTGACTTGGGGAATCTTAGACCATAAAAATTGACAACTAAGGCTTCAGCATTTGTTTTATGTTTTTTTTTTTTGTTGTTGAGGTATCTAAATCGATGTCTGGAGTGGTCAAGTCCATGGATTCTACACTGAAAAGCATGAACTTGGAGAAGGTAAAACGCTTATTCATTCCACAGATAGGGTGAGAGAAATCGTGTTATTGGGCTGTTGTTGTTTTCTATCTCAATCTGTCTTCATTGTATAGCGCTCATTCATAACAAATGTTATCTCTCAAGACACATCACAAAAAGAGCAGGTACAGGTTTTATCAGGTAGAAACGTCGAGCAGAACCAGACTCATGTTGACAGTCATCTGCTGAAACTGTTGGGCTTTGGAATATGTGATAGATGTAGAAAGAGATGGATGGAGACAAACAAAGCATTACAACAACAATAAAAACAACAGATTAATGACTACAATGCCAGCAGTAATGATACAAGTATGTGTTGTATTAGCAGCAACAACAAAGTATGATAATAGACTCGTCAGTCTAATATGATCTCCTCTTCTCTACAGATCTCAGCGTTAATGGACAAGTTTGAAAACCAATTTGAAACTCTTGATGTGCAGACAGCTCAGATGGAAGACACCATGAGTAGCACCACCACTCTCACAACACCTCAGGTATTCTTAGTATACAAACCTGTGGCTCCTTGTGCAACATGTGTGTACTTAATCTTTAAAAAAGTTTTATGAAATACAATATTTCTTTGTCTGTCCCCAGAATGACGTGGATATACTCATGCGTGAGATGGCTGATGAAGCAGGGTGAGTATGGCTCAGATGAAAACATGAAAATGCAAACAGCGAAACATAAGAAAATAGAAATATCACAGAAGCAATATTAAAAAAAGAAATCAGAACCTACTTATTAAAATCAAGAAAAAATCATTTTTTTATCAAACCTTTGGATTGTTTCTCTTTAAAAGTGTACAAAGCTTAAGATGAATGGTACTACTTGAAGAAGCTGTGTTCAGAGTGATTTATTTTTAATATCCTCCAGTTTCCTCTAAGAGTTAGGCATGCAAGCAGAAATCACAGTGAAAACATTTCTTTGTTTTCTTCCTGGTTTTAGGTTGGATCTTAACCTGGAGCTCCCCTCGGGCCACACTTCGTCACTGGCTTCATCTGTGGCTTCAACAGAGCAGGTTACACACCCACTCTTAGCTTGATGCTACTGCTATTTTTGGTGATTCACTTCCCAGAACAGAACAGCCACATAATGCACTTACCGTCTTTGGCAGTCTCTTTGGTAAACATGAAACAGTGTCACCCAAATTGAAAGTGATACACTATGAAATACTCCAATAAATAAAAGACCCTAAGGGGGTACCCTATACATATACCCTGTATGGTATGTAGGATCCAAGCTTGACACACTTTCACTATGAGATAAAAAAAAAAGATTTCAACAGAATCTTGTCAAAGCAGCAGCTTGTTGAACCAACACGTGTGATATCAGGCTCCTGCTTGAGCTGCCCATATGTTTTGTTCTGCAGTAACATCTCTATAACATGCTATGAAGCTCTTTTCTGATCTACATTGAAAAGTGTGTCATTCCTAATCTTAATCAGAGACTTTAGCTTACTTACACCTCATGGCATCATCCTGCTTCAATGGAAACCAATAGAACATTGGTTTCATGTCGGGGTTTTCACGTCTCATGGAGAAGTTCAAGTGTAGAGCAAAGGACTCCATTCACAAGTTCTCCAATACAGTATATACCTTAACATTTTGAGTAGCCCCCAGCCCAGAATTTAATTTAAAATTAAATTGACTTCTTATTGCTCTCACTACATTATTTGTTCATTGTTTAAAATCATTTTAATGGTTTATGTTTCAGTCATATGTGGAGATCAAGCCACCTTGCTTGTTGCTATAACTATTTGTAATTGACAATCTGTAAGCTCAACATGTTCAGAACAATAACTGTATCACCACAAATGGCTGAAAGACGTAGTGGACATGGTGGAGCAGCAGCACTTCAGTGCAGTAAGAGTGTTACACAAAGCTGGGTATTCAGCCCCTTTTTAAAAAAATGAATAACAACTGTTAGGAATAATGTGATGGACAGCGGAAAAGGCGGATTATGTTGCAGGAAGTCTTCAAAATGTCCAGAAGATGTTTGGATATGTTTTCCATTATGACAACTCGCCCGTGGAATTTATTGTAACCAACATAACTCAAGCTAACCACAGACGTTGTTTGTGAAGGGCATAACTGAAGACATTTAATCCTTTACCTTTCAAGCCAACAAGGGGTGATTGATACTCCTGGAAGAAGCACTTTAAGTCCTATTCCTCAAGCTGTCCAATTGATAAATGCTTCTTTCTTCTTGCATGAATCCCTTTCTAAACCTAAGAGGGTTTAGGATTTTCTAGGATTATTTCAAGTTTATTGCCACTAATACTATAATAAAAGAAAGTTCTTTTGGGTTTTGAAACTGACTCTGAGAAGGAAATGTTCGCCTCAAAATACTGAACTGCAGGCTGAACTAATGCAGTTCTATGTTTCCTCTTCTTGTGTTGTCACCAGGATGAGCTTTCCCAGAGGCTGTCCAGACTGCGAGACCAGGTGTCATAGCAGTGTAGGAAATGACAAGGTCATGAGGAGGGACGAGATGAGGAGAAGCAAGAAGGGACGGAGTTAAAAACGGAAGAATCAACAAAAAGTGCCATTTGCCTGCAAGCTGTGTACCCTCCTGTGTGTTCCTGGTTTGTTGTTAGTGAGAAATAAAGAAGCTGTCCAACAGCAGAGAAGGACTGAAAACAGGATATTAACCAACCTGATACTAACTAAAACTAAATGGAGACGCTCCATGAAAATGTAATTTGCACATTCATAGTCAATATGTATTCTGATTATTTATTGACAATCCTTTAAGTGTTAAACTCCGGATATGTTCCTGATCTACTTTTTGTGAGCTAAGTGTTGTGAAAAAAAACCCCAATAGTTTACTGTTTATTTGCTTATACCTCACTCTCAACTAGTTTTACACTATGTATAAAATGCAAAGAGCAATATATTTATGTATTTATCTATTTATTACAGACTGACTGACTAAGTATTGCTAAGACTATGCTTGTAACTGTGTTGTGTCTTGACTGAGGCTGTGGAGACCTCTAGTGTCGTTTCCCTGTTTGTTTCTGTTTTCTCCAATTTTTGGCTTTAATGTTTAAACTTCTCTTTTTATATTTCCCCCCCAAAAAATAGGGCTCTGTGCAAATGTTGGCTTTGCGTATGCTTTCAAGACAGCAGGTATGTTTAAGGATTTTTTTTTTGCATGTAGCAGTTACCAGTCTTATGGCTCACCACACACTTATATGCAAAGACGCAGTCAATAAAGGCGTACAACATGGTCTACTTGTCTTTATCTTGCTTTCTTTGAACAAACTATGCATACCGTTCTCCCCCTCCTTTTTCCATATCACCCCTCTCTCTCTCTCTCTCTCTCTCTCTCTCTCTCTTCCAACAGGGAACAGATGAAAGGTCAAAGGTGTCACCTGTAGAGGAAGCCGCCCTCTGCCGCTCGCATGCCAGTGCCTCATTTCACACACGCGCATACACACACAGTTCACCAACTCCCAGGGGATGGGCAGGACTCAGCTGGGAGCCATTACAGGTGCTGTCTAAGCACACACAAATATCCATACATGAGCACACCCACAGCTCCATGGCTGATGTGAGTCTTCCAGAGTGACACTCAGCCACCTCTGACCCTTTTTGTGTCCTTCCTAATCATCATCAGCACACACTTAACTACCTTCACAATCATCATCATTGCTTCAAGACTGACAGAAGACTCTATTTTGACTAAGACACACATACTTCAAGTTCTCAAAAAACACTGACCCCAGTGATCCAACAGATGTCAGTGATTTCTGCCAAGAGTTGGATCACCTGAAATTAAAATTCCACGTCCCTCTGCTGTCCGAGCCACAAAATCTATTTATTAAGCTTTGTTTTCAAACTTTTTGAAACCTTCACTGGCCATCTATTGAAGCATGATTAAAGCCGAGAGTCTTTCATGGCCTATTTCACCCTCCGCTCTGTTCCTCTCAGCATGTGCAGGGATGCTTCTTCCAGATGTGCAGGAGACGACTCCTGTACGAGCGCTGTATGTGCATGTGCAAGGTGTTGATACCTAACTTTACTTCTCCTCTCCTAAAGGAGTGGTAGTCGCTGACAGGCAGGGATCCGGTGGGCCAGTGGTCCTGTCCCCTAGGCCAACGTGTCTTCAGCTTCAGTACAGGGGGGAGAGCTGCTGAGCGCCACACACGCTGGCTCGATGAAAAAGCTCTAATTACAACAAGGGGAATTGGTTATTCTTCATGAGTCATACACAGGATATGAGACAGTATGTCCAGACGGTCAGTCGGGATCCGGGATTCAGCAGGAAAAGAGGCATGTTGCTAAAGCCCAATGAAAATAAAATTGAAAGCAAATCTATATTACAGGTAAGTAACTTCTCAGTAGTTTCTAGAAGCAACTTTGTTTGGTTTATTCTCTTATTTTGACAGGGGCCATGCACAACATAACTATTGGGCCCAAGTTAGCTTTAAAGCTAATTTACATCCTCTTCAAGGTGGATCATTTGAAGGTTTAAATCAGTGGTCCCATTATTGGTTTGCCTTCAGACATGATTTAAGTTTTGTTTTTTTTAAAACACTGAAGCTGGTAGAGTTTCGGATATAGGTGGGAATTCAGTTCCACTTTTCTGTGGATCTAATTGACCACAGAGTTAAGTTTAGTTAAATTTAGCTGGCCACTCACCTGTTGCTGCCCTGGTCTCTCTAGCATTGTTCCTGCAGTGACACATTGTTTAAGTGGTTTTGTTGCCTGTTATGTTTCTAATCATTTATGAATATGTACCTGAGTCTTAAGCTAATCAAAACATCTGAACCCTTTTGTATTTCATCATCAGTTATGAGATAAGACAGAAAAGAGACTCGAGTTGTGTTTAAGGTGAGTTTCATACAAAAGGTAGCCCAGGCTCTTTTTTTTCCCTCTCCTTGTCTTTTTTTATTCTCTATGGCCTCCCATTCTAAATATTCTATTACTGTGCGTAAAGGGTCAGGTCAAACACAGGAAGCCGAGCTGATTGGTTCTACTCAGATATCGATGGGCATGTGTGACCAATCGCTGCGACCAGGGCTTTCCCCAGTCTCCATCTGCTGTTGCTGTGGCTGGTAAGTGTGTGTCTAATCGTTCCAGCCCAGGGCTTTCTCCCAGTTTCCACTCACCTCTTGACCATTGCTTCCTGTCAAATGTGTTAACGCTGCTTTTAATCAGTTTTACTGTCTCATGCACACACACACACACACACGCGCGCCAATACAGCTGGTCCTATCCATCCCTGCTCCCCGCAGCATGCTTCATTAAGATTTCACCTCACCCCATAACCCAGCTGATATCTCTTACAGTCAAACAACCCGTGAACATGGACATGTAGCCTTGTCTTTACCCTTTACTGAGGCCGTCTGCCAGTCTCCGTTACAGCACACACATTCTGCAGTATGAACTGTGCGCAATGCTTCACTTTGAAAATACACTTGACAGACTCGACTAGACTACCAAAGCCTTAGGCTAAATCAAACAAACAGAAGTTTCTATTTAACTCTTTCTGTTTCAGAAAATTGAGTTAAAACACTTCATGCCCTGTTCTACTCTTCCTGGTTTGGTTCACTAGTTGGCTCTTCGAAGCTAAGCTAGCCATGCAGCAGTCTTTAATCTAGTTTGAACGCTACTGCATGGCTAGCTTAGCGTAAAAAGTCCAACTCGTGGAAAAAAAAAAACCTAAAGCATTATAGGCCTCCTTAAATAGTAACTTTGATGAGCACATAGTTTAAACAATATGTGCCTGCTAAACATAACATTTCACAACTATTGATAAGGATCACAGCAGAAGGTCTCTGTCTTGAATGATCTAGAGTCTGAATCACAAAGGGCCATGAAGCTTCTGTTCATACAGGTGAGCTCTCCTGGACTGTTGTTAATTGTCATGAGCATGTTAGATAGATCAGCACTATTCTGCAGCACAGACTTTTGTTGATGTATCTTCTGTTTCTGTAAACAAAAATTTGGAGGGGGTTTGGTTACACTTACTGAACATATATTTTGTAGTATAACAACATTTTGTCTCAATGAGCTGCCTGTATATTGACTCATTATTAGTAGTGAATTGATGGGGTTAATAAAGCAAAACTCTAGTTGTTTACAAGATGACATTGTTCTGATAATGTGAGAAACAGAAATTATATCTATTAATAAGACTTTATTATTATACCAGTATAAAGTACTGCATGTGTGTGTAGGTGTGTGTGTGGTGCATATGGTAAAACACTCTGCAGGTCTTCTGTTAGTCACACTTCCGCGTCTCAAATTGAATTAGCGTTGACAGCGCACAGCGCCAGCCGCGTGTATGTGTGTATGCACTGGGAGCATGAGCTGTTGGCAAGCTGTCTGTGTGTGTGTTTGAAACAGAGAAGAGAGAGAGGCCTTCCCCCCTGAAATCAATTAAGCGAGTATAGGTTTGTAGGTCTGGTGGTGAGGGGGGCACATCCTGTAGAGGGCAGCGCAGACAGACAGCGACATCTGGGGCAGCAGGCAGGTCGACCCTGGGTTGAGACATGAAAGAAGCAGGGCAGGGATAAGGGGAGAGGAGAGAACAGGCCAGCGTTAAATCACTCTGTTCTCTCCCCTTCTACCCTCACCTCAGCCCCTCATCTGCCATCCGATACATCAGCCATGGAGCATCCTTTTCCTTCACTCTCTCTCTATCTCTCCCCCCTCTCTCTTCTGTATCTGTCCCAGGAGTGATAACCTGTCATACACAGGAAGCAAAAAGAGCTAAAAACGATCTATCCTTCTGTCAGAGATAAGGGCAAGGAGAAAAAAGAATATCTCACATCTCTTGTTCCAAAAGACTTGATTTATAGGTCCATATCAAATAAAATCATTGCCAGAGAGCACCCTCTCTCGTTATACAATAATCTGTCAGACACACACACACACACACACACACACACACACACACACACACACACACACACACAGACACACACACACACAGACACACACAGACACACACACACACACACACACAGACACACACACACACACACACACACACACAGACACACACAGACACACACAGACACACACACACACAGACACACAGACACACACACACACACACACACACACACACAGACACACACAGACACACACACACAGACACACACACACACAGACACACAGTCACACACACACACACACACACATACACTTGCACCTGTAGAGTCCCCCTCAGGTCCATCACACAGGGGAAGGAATTAGCTCTCTCTCTTCCACAGGGATAGGAGGTTGACCCTGTGATGGACAGCTGGGGTCAGAGTGTGCATTGTGTTTGTTGGTCATGAGCTGAGTGATGACAGCCTCCCTCCAGCGACTCCAAACCTACACACACACACACAGCTCTATTGATAAATAAAGAATAGTCTGAACAAGAAATGATACACTTTCTGCATTTTAAATCTATATACAACACATATATACAGCACTAATTAGTATGGTAGTGATTGAGAGATCAAATCCTTCAGTCAAGAAAATAACTGCAATGTATTGTGTTATTACATATTCATAATTATATTCAAAATGAAAGCATGCAGGTAAAACAGCCTCTGCTGTCTGTGTTAACATGTGGAAAGCATTCATGTTGAAGTTAGCTCATATGGATAGCTTCATTTTCCTAATAGACCGTAAGATTTTTTACATTTTTATATGTTCATATGTTTGACAATCTTTATCTCAATGTTAAATGTTACTAATGCTGCATTTAACTTCAGTATTCTGATGAATTTCTTAATAAAAGAAGCGATATCCCAACATGCTCCTCTACTTGAAATCCTACAGTGATAATGTAACTGAAGTTGAGCCAGAGTATATCATTTTATTCTCATTAAATCATTTGCACACACACAAATTGTATTTTTTTTTAATTGTATTTCCTTGAGTTTTTCAGGAAAGTTAAATGATTAAGTGTGCATAGCTAACTCTGGCCCAACATTTGTGTTGTGCATGCTGCCTCTGTCAAATAAATGAAAAATGTGAACGTATGAGTGGAGAGATCTATTTTATGTTTAGGTACAAACCATTTGAAAAGCCGCGTGGGTTCTAAATGTTACATTACGACACTGTTTAAAAAAAGGTCTCATGTTTACAGTACAATACTTTTAAAGCAGAATGTCCCTCGTCTATGATACTTGGTCATTATGCTCCATGCATTAGCCTGTAAGCAGAGCATTTATATTGTAGTGGGTTGATGTGGATCTTATTTTAATGACTTTATTTAATTAATTAAATCATTAATCAATTAATCATTAATTTAATGATTTAATTATGAGCATCTTGTTCGATAAATGTTTTTTTCTAAAATATAGGAAAGTAAAAAGTGCATTTTCTCCTCTAAAATGTAGAAAGATTTTAAACGCATTAATTTAGCAAAGGTTCATAGTTACTATCAGCCACTGAATCTATTACCAACATGAGTATCGTGTATTTAATGAACAGGCAGCGTCTCAGAGTCACTTGACAGAAATGAGACCGGAAAGGTGTAAATAGAGCGGTGAGGTGAGAGGGAAAGTGCCTGAGCTGTTTGGGTCATTAACACTTTCTCTGTGAAGGCATCAGTGAACTGTTGAGAGGAAACCCCAAAACAAACACACACACACACACACACACACACACACACACACACACACACACACAGACATGCGGGCCAGGTGCCAGACCACATGTTAAAGCACTTTGTACCTCACTAATGTAACCTCTGCTCCTGTAAGACAGGGGCCTGTCAGGGAGCACATGCCAATGGAATACCCCTGTGACCCGTGTCCACACACACTTGTGTCCACACGGCAAGTAGCATGCAAAAACACACACACACATACTAAGCAACAAGCAAATCCACGGAGGCTGCTGGCTCTGTCAACACTCTTGTGATGTAAAGATCGGAAACCTCTGATCACCACTAAAGAGGAACTTTGTCAGTCATCAAAAACAACTTGTTGATGTCTTCAGCAACAGAGATGTGTTTGAGATAAAAGGCAAACAGGCAAAAATAAGTTTGATTAGGCAGCATGTGCCTGCTTGATGGGGAAATAGAAGATCACTTAATAACTGTAAAACTGCCCTTGCTTTTCACATTATAGCTCAGTGTAATTTAATTTTAGCCACAGCTGGTTTCACTTTGGACTTTGCAGCTGAGCTAAGTCACGTCCCATAATCTAACCTGATAAATAACCAGCTTTTATTGAGTTTGCAGAGAAAATAGTGAACAGTATAAACCTTCACAAGAGACTCACAGAGCAAAAAAAACGAGCAAGGCTGGAGGGCATGAAGCAGGCTGGTCGAAGGATTGTGTGTAGTAGTGTGTGTGTTTGTAAGTGATCGGCAACTATTATTAGGAGATAGCTGACGTGTGTGTGTGTGTGTGTGTGTTGTGTATGTTAATCTAATGAAGGCAAAGTATATTTACACTTCCCGACTCTCTGCCGGGCTTCTCCCCTGTTTCAGGATGCCATTTCACATGATTGGAAACAAATGACTTCAGGGTCAAATTTCTCCCCTTTTACGGCCCGTCAATCACGCTGGAGCGGCTCAGAAACTTCCCTCCTCTTGTTATTACAAAGTGGAATCAGCACAGTTTCCATGTTATCTCAGCCACCACCTTCAGGAGGATTATGCTGACAGATTGTCAAGCAAATTAACAACGTGGGGTAGGGGGGGTAGGGGGTTGACAGCGTGGTTAATCATCAGCAGACTGATAAAAAAAAAGGCAAACTCAACACCAGGACTGTGAGGTTAACAAGTTTGTATGAAACTTTAAAAAAGTCAAGAAGACAGTATGAAATATGAACACGCACTAATATGTAATAAATAAATACAAACGTATCTATGAATTCAAGCTTTTTGTAAACTTAGTTTCAAAATATTACAAAGCATGTCGGACTCAAGGCAACAATTAAGTATATAGATTGAACCCTAATTGCTCTTTTGCAGAGAGTTAGCTAAAAAGAACCAATACCCCCACATTAGTTTACTTAATACAAAGACACAGCAGCTCGCTGCTTAGTTTAGCTGGCCTGGCTGTGCCGAACAAGACTTGGAACCACACAAAAGCATGTCAAAGTGTCACTTATTAACAAGACCAGGCTGGTATTCTTGTTTCTGGTTTCTATGCTTAATTAATTTAACTATCTTTACACTCATGGTACAGTGGTATCAAACTTATTATCCAACTCTAGACAAAGCGACAAAAATAATAATTACGTTTTAAAAATGTCAAACTATTTCTTTCACTGTCATTATCATCCCATCTTAGTTATTCACTGCTTACAATATGACTCAATCTATAATATGAAGACATTAATAATGACAGGTGCTCACTCCTCATTCTCTGTAGAGGGTGTTTCTGTATGACTCTGCGGGGGGGGGTGACAGGTGACAGGTGCAGAGTTCAGCTCTCCTGGTATGAGAGCAGTTTGTCTAATTGAAAGATCAGGAATAAGTTGGGAGTTGATTGTCCTCCATAGCCAAACATGGAAATGACAGACAGTATCAAATAACCAGCACAGATTACGTCTTCCTGCGGACAAAGGGCAGGCTGTTTGATAGCAGCGCACCTGACCGCGTGCCGAAACCAGGGGCCATCCCCTGCCTAAGTTCCTCAATTAACTCCTTCCTGCTATTTCCACGTCCAGTGCGCATTAGCTCACTGCCATGCTCGGCCATGACAACTAAATTGCTGTTTGGTTACGACCGTTTGTCGGGAAACAGGCCATTTCCCCCGCTTTGCCTAAACCACTGTTCCGAGCTGCAGAGAGCAGAAGAGGGAGGGAGGGATGGTGCGGACTTTGAGTCTGAGCTGAAGGCAGGAATTATCACATCAGCGGCTGAATGGGCGTGCCCCCCTTTTTTGGTATGGACGAGAAAACACAGCATTATGTTGGGCCACAGTGGTTAGAGGTTTTCATTGGGCACACAAGAGTTCACTTTTCTGAAAGCCTTCCACATGTCTCCCAAAGTCAAGCGTCCACACAGCAGTATTGATTTACTGTTTATCCTGGAACTATGTTACAACAATGATGGCACAGCTGCTTGAGCACATTTCAGAGGGCAATGAGCCGTCATGTCACAGACTGGGATCATAAAGGCCAGAGTGAAATAACCCTTCGACCTCCATGCGTCTCTGATTAGTCCTGTTATTAGAAATAAAGTCCTGGAAAGGAAACTAGCTGAATCCTGGCAGCTGCTGATCGTGCCCTAAAATCACAGAGAGAACTGATTAGCTCATGTTATTAGTCCGGGGTGGCTTAGCCTGACTGAGATTCAGCTCACTTTAGAACTCCAAAACTCAAAACAAGCTTTTGTTTAACATGGAGTAATTGCACCAAAATGGCCATCCTATCAGGAGGAAGGAGACGTTGCTTATTTGATACTGATATCTCCTGTTGCACATTAGCACATGATTCTTTGTTAAACTTTGAAATGTGCTTTATATCAATGTGTATACATCTGGAAAACATGGACAAGTTTCCTCTTTCATTTTGTTTAAGTACCAGAAAATAAATTCTGAAGGCTGGTGTGATCTGAACAAAAAGAGTGAAAAATATTTTAATGGGCCCTCATGGTGAGTTTAACAATCACTGTCATGTTCATTGATTTTATATTACATACCTCTAGTCCTATTGCTGATGCTCTTTGGTAAAACAATTACACATTGAAGAAGTGAGAGAAGAGAAGAGCCTCTGCCCTGCGGTAAAGAAAATGCACTCAGTCCCAAATAAAAATCAACATCCCGTCTGCTTCTCTGTTTACTCCAATACTGGGCTGTTTGGCTCTAGCTGAGTGTGCATAGTTAAGAACAGCAGCACATGATCTGTGTCAGGAACAGTTTTTTGTGCCGGGAAATCCAACACAGCGAATAAAACAGTTTTAAATACAAAACATTCCCCTTTGGCATCGTCTTGTCTTCATTGTTCCTTCGAGGCTTGCTCTAATGTTTTGTTGCAATAAGCTTTGGCTTGTTACACTCAATGGGCCGGAGCCTGAAAGTGCGGTCCAGCTGTCAGAGGCAGTGGTTGGTGGTTGGATGCCACGGAGACTGGCGCAGCAGACAGTCTGTTGTGTCCTCCACTAGTTTGGTGTGCCTGGAAATAGCAGTGAGTTGGGGGTTCAGGGGGAAGCTGTAGCGGTAAAGACAGTAGGGGCCCGCAGTGTCAGAGAGATGAGGGAGCAGGGAGGGCCCCTGAGGGCTGAGAGGGCCGTGGAGGGGGAAGAGACAGTGGGGGGTGGACACATGAAGACACGGGTCCCGACAGTGGGGGGGTTTCTTCGCCTGCAGCGCAGAGAGGAGCGGGAGGTCTGTCAGCGGAGACAACGGGGGTAGACCTCTCAGTCTGTCTGCTCCCAGGGGGGAGAAGGCTCTGCCGGGCAGCGGGGAGCCAGCGGAGGCTTTACTGTAGAGAGGAAGAGCAAGGGTGTGGAGAGCGGCGTCCTGGCAGGAGAGTGTGGAGACGGAGAACGGGTGAAGAGACGAGGAAGAGGAGAGAGGGAGGAGACTCTTCATGCTGCTGGTTGGTGACCCTGAGCCCCCTGTAAAAGAAAAAAAACATGTCAGAAAAACTGGAATTTAAAAACCACGGCTTGTAGCAGAGAAGTCACAAGTCATGTTTCTCAGTACCTTGGAGCTGTATGGTGAATGGCTTGAAGTCCAAGTTGAGGGGGCCTCTCCAGGGATATGACTCCAACAAGCCATCCAACACTCCCCTACACACACAAACACACACACACACACATACTGTGAAAACACTGAAAACTGTTATTCCAGGAATTTAAATATTGGTTGTGAGAGGTGTGAAATTCTGCACTGCACTCTTCAACTTCATGTGAAGGTTTTATGTGGTGTCAAATGTTGGTGGTTGAACCTGAAGTCCCTCCTGGGTCCTTTTTTTTTTTTTTTTTTTTTTTGCAGGACTTTTTGAGCTCAAACAAGTGTGTATGTTCTTTGGGGTTTTTGTGTACCTGTTCCTTCCAGGATCTCTGAAGCCCTTGGCGAACGGGTTCCTGTCGATCTTCAGTTTTGTGATCTTGCCAGGAGAGAGGAACAGACATGGGTTAGTGTGGAAGTGTCAGCTGCTGATGTGAAAGCTAACAATGAGCTCAGCAGAGCTCTCCCTCAGGGACTGCATCTCCCAGCAGCACCCAGGGCAATCAGCCATGTCAAACAGGATTCTTGGAGGTGGTGTAGTTTTATTTGGGCTTTAATAAGCTGTGGACTCCAGTATTCACCCAGTCACAGCTTGTTACTGAGTTTCTGTAATAATACGTTCTCTGATCGTAAAAAGCAGCCCTGATGAAAAGAGCTGGCAGGCTCTGTGGACAGCGCTGTAACTGGAGGAATGTCCAACAGAGGGGTCAGCTCCCCCTGCACAAAGACATACACACCTACTATGAGCGACTGAATGACTGACCCGTAAGAAAATTAGGACATGATGAATTAGGACAATTAGGACCTACATGATGTTCAGCGCTCTTGTCTGATGACTGAGGAATATAACTGTTTGCAGGGTGTCAGACTATGGGGGCAAAAATAGACCAGACACTCAATTGAGGGGGGCACACAATGGTATGAGAATAAAAAGCTGAATGTGTAGGTATGACCTGCAGTGTCAAAAAATTCAGTAGTCAGAAGACCAGAAAAAGCACCATAGAAGCTCTAGTCCATTTACCATTGCAGAATGGGGCCCTCAGATATTAAGTATGTGAAGGAAACATCGTGTTTGGCTACGACCTTACTTCTGTACTCCCTTAAAGTTTTGCCCACAGATTCCCATATGTAGCAGATTTCTGCAATATCTATTTTCATTAAAAAAATAATGAAATGTTTGAAACAGCAGATACAGAGACATTTGAATATATAGTTGTCTTAGGTATTTACTACCAAATCCTCTGATCAACAACATGAGCACTTCATCATATTGATGATGTTATTGAGGTTGTTTTTATGTTGAATAGGACATTCATGAAGCTCAGTGTAAGTTCAAGCATGAAGACAGTTTTCTGTCACTCATTCATGGAGTCATCAGTCATTCACGTCGCTCCCTTCTCTCTCTCCCTCTCAGTCCCTTCCTGCTCGGATGGTCATACTGTATGTTTATGGGTATTTACTCTAAACCAACCAGATTTCACCACAAACTCAATCATCCTGCTGCTGTCAAATCCTAAATCTGTTCTCTTCTCTTCTGCTAGTTAGTGTTTCATCTTGATCATTGTGACCCTCCTCCATCCCAGTCACCGTCAACAAATCTCAACAATTCTCCTTCAGCACATCCTGCAGCCTTCCTTCACCACCATCACCACCAGTGTGTAGACTCCATCGAGGAGTATCTTCCTGCTCTTGGCCTCATTACTCCTTCGAGACATCATGATTGGGTCTAATCGCTTAGGGCATTGGGCGTTTTTCGTCCTTTTCTGAAGTCTCTTCTGATTGAATTGATGATGATATTTATGACTATGTTGACAATGATGATGATAAAATAGAAAATAAAAAAATAAAAAATAAAATAATTTGCTTTACACCATGTTGTTCCCTCCTTTCCAGAACCTTGCAGATGATAAACCGATTCTCAGATGTACGTTGCTTTGGATAAGAGCGTCTGCTAAATGATGATGGTGGTCTGTTTGTGATTGTGTGTACAACATATTGTACTGTTGTAAGAGGTTTGAACGAGTGTTACCTGTTGATTCTGATAGGCTGTGACTGTGGTGAACTCGGTCTCTGGGAAGGAGAAGCTGTGGACTCCTTCAGAAGGCAGAGACTGGATCTGTGACAGGTCCATGCGGGGGTCGTGCCGGATGATGTGCACGCGTGGTTTGTATTTATGCATCGACTGCAGAATAATCTGAATGAGGAGAGGAAGAGAGAAAGTATAAATGGAATTAGTTTTTAAATGTTGCCTTATTGAGTTGAACTGAAACAAAGATATAGAGCTGTGAGTGAGGTGTCATTTTCAATTATCAATTGTGTCAATTATCGTGAAGATTATTTTCTAACAGTTTCCAAAAATTATTGAGGTTTTTGACATTTTAAACCAAGGGAAACGAATCTATCCAAATGTCCAAAAGCCTGTTTATTCTCTTTTCTATCAAAAAACAAAGACAAGCAAGAAATCCTCATTTGATATTGATGCTGGTTAAAAACTTGTTTCTTTAAAATGTAAACATCTTTAACTCTGTAAACTCAAATAGTTAATTTAATTATAAACCAGTTGTCTAAATTTGACTTTGAAACAACCTTCACAGAATGATAAGTTACTGATTTAGTGGATGTTGCTAAAAAATAAAGTTAATTTTATTTTTTTAGTTAGTTCTAAGACTCTTTAAAGCTGTGGGAACAGTCACCTCTTGTGTAATTATGTAAACTGTTTCAGCTAATCAGGTCAGTTTCATGGGGGTAATAAAAGGGTTATATTAAAAATAACAAAAAAATGTATATGAATGTAAAATCAGGCACTAAAATATGATATATTAGTATCATTGAAATCACATTATTATTAAATTGGACAATCATATTCTGAAGGGAGTTAGGTTTAAATTGAAATATATCTTGAGAAAATGTTGTTTTCATTAAATACACTGACTAAAAAGTTGAATTATAATAACAAGCGTGACATACAGATCTTAGCTGTTCATTTTATAGAAATAACATGAAGGGGGGGGGGGGTTAGGGCTGGACATTAACTCTTAAGGAAGTTTGTCAAAATTACAGCTGATTATGTAAATAGAATTTAATTCAGCTGCTTATACTGAAGCTTTTTGGTGTTGTTTTTCTTTCTTTGCCTTTGTGTTTGTAAAATAAGCCCAAAAAGAGAAAAATGAAGTATTTTAAATGAACCATTTGACCTGCGTTTTTCTTTCGTTCCTGGTAATAGTGAAGCCAAATTAGAATATATTTTTCATGGTTATATGATACATACAGTATAATGTTTTCTACTCAAAGCTAAGAGGCCAGATGTAAACAGTTGCATGTGCCGGCTTCAATAACGGGCAGAAAAAGAAACCCTCTTTTTTTAGAGAAAAAATGTAACTCCTTTTTAAAGAAGGTGATAAAATGACGACAATAAAATCAGGGGATTTTGAGGTTGCTTACCAGAACTAATCATAGACCAGAATAAATTCCTTTAGACACAAAAAATTCCAGCATGTTTTTTTTAAACACTAGAATCAAGTGAGACGTCCCCTGCAACATCTACAGTCCCAACATCTGTCACCACTGTACAAACACAACCTTTAAGCCCTAGAGCTAACAAGGATTTCCATTTCTCCTATCCAAAAAAAAGACCCACAGGATATTCCCATCGTGCAGAAATGTCCACTGTCAGACTACATAGTTCAACATGAGATAGCAAGAGAACTAAGCACGAGAAAGAAAGAAGACATTTACTTAAAATCGTTTTCACCGAAATCGTTCAACAGCAGAACAGAACTCAGGAAGAGGAAGCAGCGCATGCTCAGATGAGTTACTCACATGTCCCTTATCGTCCATCTCGTTGTTAGTGAGTTTGACCCGGTCGAAGCTGATGACCTGACGCATCCACGTCTCTCCTGCGCACGGAGAGTCCGGGTGCACGTAGAGCCGAGGAGAGATGCAGGAGTGATCCGTGTTTCCAGCCACCATCCACTGCGAGCTGTGGTACACATACCTGCCAGGAGATACTTGAGAATAAATACACAGGTCGCCTCAATATGTAGGTAGTTTGGTAAATTCAGTGAACGCACACAAACACACCTGTAGCGTTTTGAGTCTACGGGCATCACGTCCATTGCAATGTAATACTGCTGGCACGGGTCCAGGTTGCGCACTTTTACGCGCACGGAGGGAAACATTCTCCTAGAAGTAGAGAGAGGGGATTACATTTCATTAGAAATCAGCAGGGCTCAGATTATTTATTTTTTATTCTTCAAAATGTTCCAAAAAAAAAAAGGGTAGAAGGGTTTTAGCCGGCATGGATGAGACATCATGAAACGTTCAGAAAGATTTCAGGAACAACAACTTCAGAAACGTCCCTGCTTTAGCGGCCAAGTTCACAGGAAAGTTCAAGGGCCTCGAGGGGCCACGAGAGCATCTTCACTGCCGAGATTTATAGCGTGAGTTCACCGTAATTGAATAAACGGATCCAAGATTTCAGCAAGTAGTTAAGTCCCAATAACTAATTTCTGGGTGAAAGAAAAAAAGACCCACACGGCAACCTATCAGACAGTGAATTAATTTATTTCAAACCCAAAGATAAAGAAAATTAAATTGACCAAGAATGTCTCTGTGTCACAAGATTTCAATTGATTGATCACATCAAATAGGTCTGGGTCGACTGGACAGTACGGTTTAATGTCGTTCGACTAAATGAAATAATTTCCCTCGGAGTGTGCCTGGTTTCTTTTTATAGTTCCAAAACAACAACAACGTATAAAACAAAATATTTTAAGATCAATATTCATACAAATGTACCCAATACTAGGACAAATGAAACAATATAAACTGACAGAGTAAGTGATAACTCTCGATATCAGCTCATTTGACTTGTGATCAGCTGCAGCGCATTCAAAGCCGACAAACTCCTGATAACGCACCTGTGACTGCAGAACAGTTCAAATATCACACCATCTACTTATCACTGAATATGACCACTCTAGTTCTCTATTTTTTAAATTTAAAACACAAATTAGACGGAAAAATTAAGACTTAATAGAGAGAGATTTAAATCGTAAAACAGATGGGGATATAGTAGGATTAAATATCGTGGAACCAGGTTTAAGGCCCGGGCGGTAGAATTAAGTCCTGCTCTTATTTCTAAATTATTACTTTATTAAACCTTTTTATTTTTGATACAAATAGATTGCTTTTATTATTTTTTCAGAACAAATGTAGACCATCTTCCTAACACATGATATGACTGCTCTTTCGTTATAATTTATACATCTCACTGAAAATAAATAAACCAAATAGCCTATATGTCTCGTGAATAGCTCCAATAAGTGTCTCCTCCTGAATAGGTTGTGCAGGACATATCTCGAGTTCGGAGTGTAAGGGTTTCACACGATATAAAGGAGAGTTAAAACCCTTTAGGCCTGAAATGCAGCAGCGCAAACACTCTGTAACTGCTCATCTCGTTTGTTCTCTTCCTTAACTTTTACCTGCCAGCTTTAGTGATGATCATCTCTGTGCCGATCTCATAGAACCTCTTCCACAGCTCGGAGCCCTGCAGCTCCACCCGGACCTCTGACCTGTCCGCCCGGCAGTCTCTCTCCTTCGGCTTGCTCTCCTCTCCGCTGTTCTCCGACTCCTCAGGCGATGATCTGACCGTGTGTCTCTCTGGGTCACAGGAATCGTCCTCTATCCTCTTTGGTGTTGAACCTGCTTTCTTAATCTGGCTGCCTTGATATTCGCTCAGGCCTATAAATTGACAGACATTGGAATAAGAGAGATGCTATGGAAGGGAGTTTAAAAAAACGCTAAATATATTGCACAAATCATTTACATGCTTGCAGCAACTTTAACTCTTTATTTTTAACATCTTTTAATATCACAAATGTTTAAGCTTGTTTAAAAGTGAACACGCAGAAAGTCCCTCAAGCTTGCAATTGTTCTACATTTACAATACTTGCACTACTTTTTGTATGTAAAATATAATAAATATATTTTTCACATATTAAATAGAAATATCGGTGTAAATGCTTTAAAACTATTTAATAACATTTCTGAGAAAGTAAAATAACCTGCAAACCGCAGAGTTTTTGGAGTTTTGTTGGTTTCATCTTGTGCGTAAAATTCATGTATATTAAAGCAATGACATCTTTCAGATAATCCTTCTGATCCCTCTTTCTCACCGTTAAAGATGCTCATATCGCTACCGGTGTCTCCAGCTGAACTTGACTCATGTTCCTCGGAAACTTTCATCCTCTTGCAGGGTTTCCCGACCAGCGCCTCCACCGAAAACGCGTGAGCCCTGGAACTCAGACCTTGCATCTTTGCGGAAGATCCCATCGTTCTGTGAGTCCTATATCCTCCTGAACTCTAACTTTGTCCCGCAAAAGGTTCGGTGTCCCGGCTCATTCAGGACAGAACGTGGTAAAACAGGAATCCGCAGAAGAACCACCACCTCAGGGAGCTCCTCTTCATTCACGGCGGCTCCGTGACGCTGCGTAATTGATCCGGTGCCTTCCCATGTGTTCTCCAAGACGCGCGCCCTCATCCAAAAACCTTGATTATTGGCACGCCTCTTCCCGTCACTACAATATATCCCTCTCTCGTCCTTGATCCGTGTCTGTGTCTCCCCTGTCCTCTCTGTATCTCAGAGGGTTTGTTCCTGCGATTCCCCTCTGCGCGTCACAGAGAGAGAGAGGGAGGGAAGAGCGCAGCGTGCAGTCCTCCACATGCTTGGGCCTGCGCTGTAAAACGAAAAAATAGCCAAGTTAGTCTGGCCTTAATTGTTAGTTTCCTCACACAAATGAAAAATAGTGTATATGTAACAAGACAAGTGAATTGAAACTTTTCTCTCAGAAGCAAACATATTATTTCCTTTGGAAAAGTCACTTTGGAACGATGCAAAACGAGGGAGATTATCAGCATCAACAGGTGTCATTTGATTCTTGCTGTATATATTCGATTCCGTTCATTTAATTGGACACATGTCAAATAATCCAATAATTTACATTCTTACTTAAAGGAAAATGAGCGAGACTACGTTTATTGGAGCTATTTGGCCGATTGGACCAATAACCTTTGAGAACCCAGGACAATCAGCCTCGTTACGCGCGATGTCACTGTGGGATGATGAAAAAGTTTAGTCCAAACGGTTCAAATTTAGAGTCGTATTATTTTTTGGGTTTGTGAACTTTGTATGATTATGCAGGTTCACTGGGTAAAAAAGTGTAAGAAAAGCAGAAAGTAAAATATTGACTACAAAGGCAGAAAATTAAACTGATGAATCTGTATACAACTATTGGCATAATTTGTATCTCTAATACGAATCTCTGGAATTCCTTGAAGCACATTTTATTTTCTTTCTTCCGCACAAGCATGCCTGTCTGATTGGTCTGTTTTCCATGTTGCTTCCCTCCGTTTAGACATCTGATAGATAAATAAAGAACATTTTAGTGCACTGGAGGGGACGTCCAGGCACAAATATTTAAGTCTTTTAATTTAGACCATCTGGAGGGTTAAATATCTCCATGAAAGTCGCTGCATTTCTGTTGAAGCTAACGTTTCCTATATTAATTTGAGGGCTTTACTTAAAGCGGTCTCTTGTCTCCCATTCCACCGGCATAGAAGTGGGATTTTTTTTTCAATTGCGGTGCCCGGTGAGAGTGTGCGCCAGTCTGGTTCTCATAAGTGCGCAGATCAGATGGAGTTCGGCGCACAGGGGGAAAACTGGGTCGTAATGACAGCTCGGGATTATTACATTACTGCTCGACATGAAATGGATCCGCTTTACACAAATACAAGTCAGCGAAGGCTCTATTTAAAATGTTTTTTAATCACATGATATAATTGCTGTGAGGAGAAAACAAATGAGGCTGTGTTTACGGCACGGTTGGTTTGGTTGGTGATGGAAATCTCTGACAACAGCCGGGAAATGGAGAACTATGACCAACCGGCATCACATGCTCTCTGTCATCAGAACCTGTTTTAGGACTGCGGCCTGGACTTGTGTTTATTCTTTCCCAACCTGTCGTCTTACTTAAATACTATTAGAAAAGTGAATCCCAAAACACGATACTGCGGGGAAAAGTCGTAAACAGGAATCACCGTCTGTGCGTTTATGTGCGTAAAGGCGCACGGCTGCTCCGTATTCAAGTAAAGCCCTAAAGAAATAGTAAGAAATAACCTGAGTAGTTGCCTTCCTGTTAAATTCGACGGATTGTCTTTTAACATTTTTTCAGCAGTCAGCTCGTAAATCTTCGTCACGGGATTAAAGTGTGTCCGCCGATTGTCGACGGGCGTGCATGACACAGTGATGCCTGCTGGGTCTGCAGGAATCTGCTCCTGGGTGTTTTGGGATGCTAGATCCAGTGCAAATCTGTATTTGTCCCATTCGAGGATGTTTGGCACATGTGTTTCCTTTTATTAAGCACAATACGCAGGATGGGCGGAAACAAGACACTCAAATCCAATTTAGCACAGGCCTCAGGTTTCCATTAATGCGGAAGTCTGATGATCAGCTGCAATTAGGCTTTCCGATCAGTTTTTCGCCTTCAGGCTCGCTGGCATGCTGTTGATTTGCGGATCCACGTCCTAATGAATGATTATTAGTGAATAATTGGTTTTGTGATGTAAGTTTTATGGTGTATAAAGCATGATGAGCAACACGTCAATCATGAAGCTAAATTCACATTCAGTTGGTTGCAGGGAATTTTTTGGGGGAAATTAAATTATTTTTCCTAACTTCAGTACGAATAATTTCTTGGTGTGTTTCACTTGATAAATGACAGTTAGGTTAGTGTATGTGTGCGCGTGTGTCTGTCTGTCTGTCTGTCTGTGTGTGTTGGGGGAGGGGGGGGGCAAAGAGTAATCAAGACCAGGCCTATACATGGTAGGCGCCTGTACTTTATGTGCACAAATTAATGCATGCATGTGTGTGTGTTTATAAACAGACCTGTCTGTCTGTTGCTCAGTGCTGAGTGGATGTGACGGCTCCTGATGGTTTGTTTAATGTTGGATTCTGATGCTTAGCAGTTAATGTGTGTGTGTGTGTCTGTGTGTGTGTGTGTGTGTCTGTGTGTTTGGTGTGAGTATGTGTGTGTCTGTGTGTTTGGTGTGAGTATGTGTGTGTCTGTGTGTTTGGTGTGAGTATGTGTGTGTCTGTGTGTTTGGTGTGAGTATGTGTGTGTCTGTTTGTGCCTGTGCGTTGTGGGTTATTCTGGGCATAGGCTGCTGCAGCGGATGCCCTCTCATTGCCAAACGTCAAACTTCCACCTCCTGTCCGCAGTGACATATGTGGAGTGTTTGAATTTAGAACGCTGTAAACACTTAGTGTACTGTGGCACTAATGAGATGTGAGCTCTGTGTATTTGACATGAACATATAGGCCCACCTGCAAGAAAACACAGTCCGCATGAGACAATGATGTGCTAATTGTTTCCAACACTGCTTACTTAAAGTTTGACTTCAAAACCGTCATTTTTGCTGAGGATTAAGGGGGCGCTTGTTATTCACACATGTTGGTATGGAGCTCTTTTCACTTTCCTTAACCTAGACTGTGCACAACACCCTGAGTTGCTTTGAAACACAGAAGAAGAAGTAGAAGAAGACCAAAGTCAGAAACCGAGCAAATACAACCAGTAAAGCATTTTACAACATGACGATTACATAGTGACAAATTCCTTTGACCCTGACATGTCATCAACTCCATGGTATGTGTGTTTGAGGACGTGCGTGTTTGTGTACTGTCACATCTGCTATTCATAACCTCTTTTTTGTCCCTCTACTTGGGGGTTCAGCTGCCAGGGCTTGGAGAGTGTCTCTCAGAGTATTTAAGTCCCCTCGTGGCTTCTGTTTCTGCAGCATTTCTAACTAGAGAAACCCTTTTCCAAGTTCCTTCCCTCTATGAGCCATGAGGTAGAGAGTTGTGTCTAATTGAATTTGGCTGCTGAGGACAGAGCGGACAAAGTGGATCTTCTGAACCACACAAGAGACAAGAGTTGGAGATTGCTGCTGCAGTGTGGTTATGCTGTAAACATAGTCACTTCATTATTTTCATAATATGAAAATTTTAATCCCGCCATCCACTATCAAGATTCAACAAAACAGCTGCTTACATAAAGATTACGGCAGCTCAATGTTCAAGCGGACATGGGGCGGCAGTAGCTCCGTCTGTAGGGACTTGGGTTGTGAACCAGAGGGTCCAAACCAAAGATATGGAAGTCGTTCTGGTAGCTGGAGAGGTGCCAGGCCACTTCCCGAGTACTGCCGAGGTGCCATTGAGCAAGGCACCGAACCCCCAACAGCTCTGGTGCGCTCCCTGCGTTGCAGTGTGTAGCAGCCTCACTCTGACATCTCTCCACAGGTCCTGTTTGTGCACATGTGTGATTCAGGTCTATGTGTGAGAAGCATGTCTCTCAATAACAGAGTGTCAAACCAGAATTTCCCTCAGGGATTAATAAAGTATTTTTAATGAAAAGAAGTTAAGAACAGCAAAATAACAGTTTCTTAAAACAGAGAGAGCATGAATAAAAATGTTTCAATAACACATAAAAAATAGTGAAAAACAGAATTAAATAGCTTACAAATTGTCAAATCAGTTATCTTTAATTTTACTCCATTCAAATGCTGATCATAACAAACGTGTGACAAGGGTCCTGCTGTTACTAATACCAGGTCATTGGCTGAAAATTGTCCTTAAACATTTGCTTAAACAATATGTCTGCTATGATTCATGGTAACGGATCTGAACATGGTAGTTCTGCCGCACTAAGCTGCTTCAGTGTAAATTGGGTGTAATGCATGCTTTTTATCGTGTCATTGGAAACACTTGGAAACATGTTTTATTATTGTTATTTATTGCAGCCGAGTTAGCGTGAACTGTCAAGCTTAAAACACATTGTTGTGTTACTATGCAGCACCTTCCCCCCCTTTAGGTGCAGCACCTCTGCACTCTGGGTCGCTGCGCTGGCAGCCTGTGAGGCGCCTGGGCATGAGGCCTGGTACTACCGCCTTTCTGCCCACAGTGCAGGAAGATTTAATGGCTCATGTGCCACGGCATCCAGCCTTTACTGGCTCCTTCTGCTCTCGCCTGGCTCGGGTGGAAACGAGGGATGAGGGCAAGAGGGAAAGAGGAGAGGAGAGGCACATCTCTGCCAAGACGCTGCCTCCCCCTCTCACCACAAGTGTGTTGTGAATTATCTTCTCGCTCTACCCCCTTCTTCCTCTCGTTCTCTCCCTAAGCCTTAGGTTATCCCTTTGCTACTCACCCTCTTCCTATTAAACACATATAGATCTTCATCTGTCTGCAACATGAGGCCACACCAGGCTGTGACTCTGGATACATGGCACATTGGTCACTTGTTTGGATAGCTAATTCTTTGATGAAAATGACCTTTTCTCCCTCACTCTCCGTGTCCCCGTCTCGCCCTCTTTCTCACACAGACTGCCAGTAACTGTGTGGTTAATGATTGTGGTAGAAAGAAACAAAAACAGGCATAATTGAT